GCTGCCTGCCCGGGGTCCGGCGCGCAGCCCGGCGGGGAGGAGCTCCCCAGTCCAGCCTCCCACGCACGTGTGACGACAGCCCCGCGTCCCATAGCTAAAATTCCCGAGTTATGCTGAAGTGACTGTGTTTTTGTTTCTTTTCCATTTCCCAATCCAGAAGCCATTTCTGAACAGTTCAAACCGTGTTTTGTGGTTGGCCATGCATTCAAATGTCACCACCAGCTTCTATGACCTTTAGTGTGAAATACCCCTCACAGACAACTTGTAGAGGAACAAAAGGAACCTGCCAAGAAAGCCGACCCCTGGTTAGGATTAGACCCTTATGGATATTCTTATAATCTATATCAAATAAATTTGGATAAAAATATGGAGCTAGGATACCAAATGAATGGGACTATTGACGTGAGATTTCCATACAGGCAGTCCTCGATTTACAACATTTCGAATTACAACGTTTCACACTTACAGCATTTATAAATTGACATCCTGTTTCAACTTTCTGACATCAGTTTTGACTTTACAGCGCTTAATCTGACACGACGCCATGCCACGCCAGCGAACAAGTTCTTTGCGTCACTCATCTCTGTAGAAAACATCTGTCCAAACTTCCTTGGGCACTTTCTTTAAGAAAGCAGACACGACTCCAGACAAACCTGCAGCCAAGACTCCTGGGAAGACTCCAGCCAAGAACCCTTCAAAAAGTCCAGCAATGTCACCTCAAAGAAGTCCTTCCAAATCCATAGGATTGCTATTTATAATATAAATACATTAATGTAGCTATATTACTCATCCATATTGATTGAGTACAATTCAGACTCAATGATCTATTGAGGTCCCTTCTGATGCCCACAACTATGAAACTACGTAACTACAAAATACTGCTCAAAAGAGAGGCTGAGTAAAACAGGCCAGGCACGTAGTGAAGACAAAACTAAAACCAATACGAACATGACCATTTCTGAGCTGCCAGTGCCTGCCTGCTCTCCTCTCTACTGGGCCTGATCCGATACCAGCTAGCATAAAGTTCACTGGTGACACTGAAGTTTGCTATTGATTATAAGAAAGGGAACAAGAATTCACCCTCCTTACTTACAGTCAGATAGTGAAAAGGTGCAAGAGCCCCTTCGTTTTCACTGGAGTTGTGACTGTTTGTACAGAGGGCAAATGCAATCAGAGGATCACTTCCAAAGTTGCTTTTTTCCACATTGCAGAGGTGTGCACAGAGCTCACTCTGGGACTGCTTATTCAGTCCTAGCCTAATTAAGTAAAGGAGGAAGGGGCTGTATTTACAAATTAAGGCAGGCAACCAGGCCTCACCCATAGTCTGAACTCTGCTTGTTCTGATGCCTAAAAGAAATATGATAATATTCCAGCTGCAGCTATTCCCTGTCTCAGTGTTTCCTGCTATTCCCTCACTGTCTGTGCACAGCTGTCTATGCATTACCCACTACAACATATATGTGGGCACTCTCAATGCATCCTGTTTCATATTATTAAATACCTCTCACATTACTCTGCAGTAAGAGTACAGGAAACCCACAGACAGTGTGAAAATATGTGCTGCCCACAGCTGCAGGGTCCCTTTTTCCAGTTCACTGGAGTTCATGGGAGCTCTGTGAGTAAATTCCCAGCCCAAATTTAGAAGCAAGCCAGGAAGCCAAGAGCAGCTGAGCTTACTTCAGCTGAAAGCCTTTTTGTGAAGCCACATTTACATTAGGAAGTATGTCCATCACTGAAAACGGCCAACAGTTTCTGCAGGGTGCAAACACCTATTCATCTTACCAACATCTGCAGTGAAATCATGCCCAGAGCTTGTTCTTCATAGTTTCATAGTTTCATAGTTTCAGGGTCGGAAGGGACCTAATAGATCTTCTAGCCCGACCCCCCGCCAGGGCGGGAGAACAACCCAAAAACACAAACAAAACCACTCACCCTAAAAACAAAAACGGGACTCAAATGAGTCCAGCCAGGTAAGTATCCAGCCTCTTCTTAAAGATCCCCAGGGTAGGGGCCAGCACCACCTCCCTTGGAAGTTGGTTCCAGCTCCTAGCCGCCCTGACTGTGAAGTAGTTTTTTCGGATGTCCAATCTGTACCTCCTCTCCATCAACTTGTGCCCATTATTCCTTGTTATGCCAGCAGGGGCTAGGGGAAACAGCGTCTCCCCCAAACCCTTCTGGTTCCCCCTAGTGAGTTTATAGACGGTCACCAGGTCCCCCCTCAGCCTTCTCTTGTGGAGGCTGAATAGGTTCAAGTCCCGCAGTCTCTCACTGTAGGGTCTGCCCTGTTGTCCCCGGATCATGCGGGTGGCCCTCCTCTGGACCCTCTCCATGTTGTCCACATCCCTCCTGAAATGGGGCGCACAGAACTGGACACAATACTCCAGCTGCGGCCTGACCAGCGTCGCATAGAGGGGGAGGATCACCTCCCTGGCTCTACTCGAGATGCACCTGTGGATGCACGACAAGGTCCGGTTAGCCCTGCCAACCATGACCTCGCATTGTCGGCCCATGTTCATCTTGGAGTCAATAATGACACCAAGATCCCTTTCCGCCTCCGTGCTCTCAAGTAGGGAGCTCCCCATCTTATAAGTGTGCTGCTGGTTCCTACTACCCAAGTGCAGCACCCTGCACTTGTCCGTATTGAAACGCATCCTGTTCCTGTCTGCCCACCCCTGTAACCTATCCAGATCCTTCTGCAATCTCTCTCTCCCTGCTAGCGTGCTCACCTCCCCCCAAATTTTGGTGTCATCAGCGAATTTAAACAGGTTGCTCTCCACCCCAACATCAAGATCGCTGATGAAGACATTGAACAGCGCAGGGCCCAGGACCGAGCCCTGAGGGACTCCACTACCCACCTCCCCCCAAGTCGAATATGATCCATCCACCACCACCCTCTGAGTGCGACCCTTCAGCCAATCTGCAATCCATCTGACCGTGTAGGCATCTATGCCACAGTCGCCTAGTTTATTAATTAGGATGGGGTGAGAGACGGTGTCAAAGGCCTTGCTGAAGTCCAGAAAGACTACATCCACCGCGACACCTGCATCCATGGCCTTTGTGACCTGATCATAAAAGGCAATCAGGTTGGTCTGACATGATCTCCCCCTAATAAATCCATGCTGATTGCCCCTGAGCATCATCTCGGATGCCGGCCCATCACAAATGTGCTCCTTGATGATCTTCTCAAAGAGCTTCCCCAGGATTGAGGTAAGACTGACGGGCCTATAATTGCCCGGGTCCTCCCTTTTCCCTTTTTTGAAGTTGGGGACCACATTAGCTACCTTCCAATCGTCTGGCACCTGGCCCAAGCACCATGATCGCTCGTAGAGCCGTGCCAGGGGCCCTGCAATAACCCCAGCCAGCTCCCTCAGCACCCTGGGGTGGAGAGCATCCGGACCCGCTGACTTGAACGCGTCCAGCCCCTCCAGAAGCTCTCTAACCCGGTCCTCCCCAACCTGAGGTCTGAAGGCGATCCCCTCACGTCCGGCTTCTATCACAGCAGGGAAGTCCCGGTCCCTGCACAAGAAAACGAAGGTGAAGAATTGGTTAAAGAGATCCGCTTTATCCTCTGACGCAACCACCAGATTGCCCCGCATATCCTGCAGGAGCCCCACTGTTGCACTCCCTCCTGGGACACGCTGTCAGCAATGTCCCTACCATATATAAACTGCCAGGAGAGAAGAGACAGGTGCAGCGGAGATCAGGGGGAGCATTTAAACTACCCTGGCTGGTCAATCCATTTTGTTCAATAGTTTTGAATTAACTGAGACCAGACTGTGGCAAAAATCTCCAATTGCAAACTGATGTCCAGTCAGATCCCACCAGGCCATCTTCAGTAAAAGCTTACCCTGGACAGGGTGACCTTTATGTTCACGTGGAAACCTGGAAGGCACTTCCTTTCTGCTCCTGCCAGCTAGCCAATTTGAAACAGTGACCATGTTCTCAGTAAAGCAACTAAAAGTGTTGATGGTCTCAGTATCTCACCTGCAGAAGCATAGGGCAAATCACTGTTTCACTTCACAGAGCCAAAACATTGGGAGACTTATTCTTGCATGTCCCCTGGGAGAGGGAGGCCTGTTCAGAGACAGGAAAAGATTCAAAATCCCATGCAAATCCATACATGAGTATGGAGCAAAAGAGAAACCGCATCTTCTGATCCCCACAACTGGCAACTAGCATTTGGGTTGACCCATATATATTGCAACTTATCTATTTGAGTTAGGGTCCAAGCCTGTGAACTGCCCATGAGCAGCCTTGGTCATACAGAATCCTTCAGCCAAATAGATCAGAGCTGACTACACAGACAACACAGAGACAGCTAATTTTGCCTCCTACCTCGAGGGAACAAAGTGGCAACTGTTCAATAGCCAAGAGCAACGCTACACAACAGTACAGAGGAGGAGGTCCAGGTAGCAGGGTGAACATTTACACGTGGAAAAAGCAGCACAGGAGTTTTAATGGTTACTAGCCTACAAGCTTTGGTTTTGCCTCTCATCCAAAAGACCGGACATCTCAGTGTCATGCCAGGTGATTTAATTTGTAGATCCAGAAAGAATGCCACTCACTAAAGCAACAACTTCATTTCAAGTAGTCAGAGGCTTCTGCTCCATGACTGACCCAGGTCCCACTCTGCACCATCCACAAGCAAGAATTGTCTGTTATAATAAGTTGTGTTTCATTTTATTTTTATAATTCTAAATTGGTCCCATGATGCATAACCAAGCAAAAACAGGAGCAGCAGTTATGCCTCCTGTCCTT